TTTAATACAAATTTCTCCAGTAAAAACACCACGAAAAATGTTAACACACGAAAAGTATCATACCAAAGATCATTTAATCAAAATAACACAGAGGCGTTCAAAAATTCCATTAAAAACCTTTCCTGGAATAAAATCATGAATGAAACAAATGATCCTGATAAGGCCTATAATGAGTTTTTAGAAATGTTTTCGGATATATATGAAAAAAATTTTCCACTCAAACGAAAACAATACAATAAAAAGATAGACAAAATCAAAAGTCCATGGATGACAAACTGTATATTAAAGTCAATCAGGAAAAAAAACAAACTCTACAAATCCTTCCTTATCAATCGTAATAGCAAAAATGAACAACGGTACAAAAATTATAAAAACAAACTAAATCATATTATAAAAATAGCCAAAAAAACATATGAAAATCAATTGATCAAATACAAACAGAATTCTAGAATGGTCTGGAAAACACTTAATGAGTTACTCAATAAGCCCAAGAAAAGCGCAAAAATATCACAAAGCTTTGTTGAAACCAACTCATTAAATATTTTAGATGACCCCGAAGAAATAGCTAATCAATTCAATGACTACTTTACTAATGTTGGACCCAATTTGGCAAATAAAATAAAACAAAATGACAATAATAATTTTAATAAATATCTCAAAGGTAACTTTGGGTCTAGTTTTTTTCTTAATCCCATCACAGAAAATGAATTAGAAGTTGAACTAAAAAACATGAAGCCAAAAAAAAGTTGTGGATATGATGGTATTAGCACAAGCATTACAAAAATAGTAGCTAAAGAAATCTCTAAACCATTAACACACATTTTCAATCTAACATTTACGACTGGAATCATTCCAGAAAATCTAAAAATTGCGTTGATTACACCAATTTTCAAGGCTAATGACGAAATGAAGTTTGAAAATTACCGACCAATATCAGTACTTGTTTGTTTTGCAAAATTGTTAGAAAAACTTATGATTAATAGACTATCAAAATTTATTGATAAAAATAAAATTTTATCAAAACATCAATATGGATTTAGGAAACAGAGATCAACTGAACATGCATTGATTGACTTTATCGATAAAATCACTAATGCAATTGATGAAGGTAAATACTCTGTTGGTATTTTCCTTGATTTATCTAAGGCATTTGATACAATTGATCACAAGATTCTGATAAAGAAATTGGAACATTATGGTATTCGGGGAGTGGCCAAAAAATGGTTTGAAAATTACTTAAACAATAGAAAACAAATATTGAAATATAACGGATTTCAATCCGAGCAAAAGATTATTAAAAGCGGTGTACCACAGGGATCAGTCTTGGGTCCTTTATTGTTTCTTTTATATATAAATGACTTACAATACTGCAGTGAACTGATTTCTGTTGTATTATTTGCAGATGACACAAACATTCTATATAGTAATGAATGTCTTAAAAAATTGAATGAAATCATTCAAGTCGAAATTAACAAAATTTCAGATTGGCTTAATGCAAATAAATTGTCTATAAATACAAAAAAAACCAAATTTATAATTTTAGAACAAAAAAAAGAAACTTAAACATACCATTAACATTTCGATCAATAATAACAATATAGAACAAGTCAAAAACACTACATTTTTAGGGATTGTTATTGATGAATTCTTGACATGGTGTAACCACATGGATTTGATTACAAAAAAATAATTAAATGTGCAGCAATTATTTCCAGGATAAGGCATTTCACAAACTTAAACTCTTTGAAACTAATATATTATGCTTTGGTTTATCCATATCTAACGTATGGCAACCTAATATGGGGTAACACGTACAAATCCCGTATTAAAAAGTTAGTGAATATTCAAAAAAAAATTGTGAGATTAATGACTTTCAAATCTTATTTTGATCATTCCGAACCAATTTTTAAAGAATTGCAAATACTCAATTTATTCAAAATAAATGATTATTTAACAAGTGTATTCATGTTCCGATATTTTCATTTACAAAATCTTCCAGAAATATTCAGAAATTATTTCTTTACTAATAGGGAAATTCATAATCACAACACACGAAACTCGAGATTACTACATAAAAAGTTTAGTAGAACCAACTACGCAAAACATACTCTTGCTAGTAGAGGCATAGAAATTTGGAATAATCTCACTGAGCAATGTAAAAAACCAAGATCTTACGACTCCTTTAAAAAATAATTAAAAAACACTTTCACGCTTAGATAAAATAACATACTCCTTATCACCTATATCACCATACTCCTTACTATTTTTATTCTTTTAACATATTCCTTATCACCTATATCACCATACTCCTTACTATTTTTATTCTTTTTTCCTTTTTTATATATATACACTATTTTTATTCTTTTTTTCCTTTTTTTTATATATACATATTAATATACCTTTGACTTTGTATCTTTTTATTATAAAAAAATAACATTCGAACTGACATTATATTTAAAATCAGTAACTATTTTAGTTCAGTAAACTAGGGGCCTAAAATAAAAGCCATATGGTTTCTGGTAGGCTCCTAGCCCAAATTTGTAAGTTAAAAAAAATTTTATATCATCTTTATATCATGTAAATATTGGGCGCACTTATTAAAAAAAAAAATACTAGCAGACAAAAGTAATGATTAGTTCTTAAGTATAACTGAGAATTTTTCACCGTTATCCCCATCATTACCTTCTTGCTCAACTCAGCACGTGCCAAATGAATTCCTTGTCTCTGACTCTCTGGCTTTCGTCCTTACAAGTTTACAAATCTATTGGCATCAAGCTGTGAAAATTGTGAAAGCAGACAGTTGGTTGGATATCCACGTATGCCTTGTTTTTTTCGCAAGATTTGCCAAAGGTATGGTTTTGTGTATACCAATACTATTGGTATTTCATGGTATATCGAGAAACAGCGAAGTGCTGGAAGCAAATGCTATTTGCAACAATGCACGAGGCCTACATGGAACCGACATTCATCGAAATTAAAACGTTTAATGGCGCTGCTACTACAAAGGAAGGAGTGACAAGCAAGAAAACTGCTCAAGTTGTCAAAGATCACGACCACCAACCTACGAAGGATCTAGCAAATATGTCCAATCGCTTTTGTCGTTCGGCATGTGGGAATGTAGACGGAGAGGACAGCGAACGACCATCAGGCTACCCAAAAACTCCGTGTCGGCTTGTCGTTGTTGAACAAGCTTCGTTCAGTGCACTGACTGACTGCTGACGGACTTCGATGTGATTTGGCGATAGTAGCGAGAAATCTTGTACAACGCGGCCTGGTAACTGCACCAAGTGACATAACGACCACATTGCGTTACATTGGACTGATCATGCCACGTTGTGATCACGCGCTTCATCGTGGTATCGTCTATGGTAAACCAGGCGGCGCAACGCTTACGTTTGTGAAATTGATGGAAGTTGAAACATACCAGAACCGATTACTCGCCAACGATGCGTTAAGGGAAAGAATTCTGAAACACATGGCCAGAATAATACACCTGCTTTTACGCACGGCGTACCCAACTTGCCCTCCGGAAAGATCTAACCTCGCGCGTTTATTTCGCACAACGCCACCCCTCGTTCTTTTCGAAACCAAATGGGGTCAATCCCCACATCGTGTCAAACCAGCGCTTAAATCCAGTAAAAACAATAGAGACACACGCTGACCGCTCATATTCAGCGAATGTCATTGGTTACTTTAGGCATGGTTTCAGTACTATGGTACTTACGATACTTGCAGATTGTGATTTGGGATAAAGTGCATTCAATAACAAATGGTTGTTTAATTGTTTAAAAACTGCTTTCTCATTGAGTTTAGATATGTACGATAAATTGCTGATTAGGCGGAGGTAGAGGTTGGAGAAACTACAGCTAAGGTCCACATTTTTCATTGGTGGATAGTTGATAGCCTCTTTCCATATGTCAGGAAATTCACCACATTTGAGAGACGAATTTATTAGACATGTGCATGATAACAGGTAATAGGATGTCTAAACATTCTAACATGAAAGGCGTACGCGTAGGATCAAGTGCACAATGTTTCCTGCCAGTATCCGAGATCAATGTTAGAGCATCATCTACACTGAGAGGATTGAATTTCAGTAGTTTGCATAAATTTGTTGGAGTTCTTGGTACATTTGCTGGTTTATGCAGATTATTTGAAAATATTGACCAAGGTCGTTTACGAGGCGGTTCTAGTCTGGAAAGCTTAGATTATTAGATTTTTGGAACAAGTAGTCTGTTTTCAAATGTTTGTGGAAACAGAATTATATATTGTAAATTACACATTTTACGTCAAAATTTTAAAATGGCAGAAATTTTGTTTTGATGCGGTAAAAATCCTTTTTAGAATTGGGATATCTGGATGTGATAGAGGCACGCATGTTGTTACACAAGTGTCAGAGTATGCCAGAATGTAGCATTAGTGCGTTACTCATTAACCTAAACGTTAATGAGCGTCCTTAACTAAAGCATGAATTATGAGTATGGCTACTTCCACTTAAGGCTGCTTTCCACTGACGCGTATTTTATAGGCACATACACGTACAGAAAATTCGAAATGCTTTCAAATTTTTATTATTTAACATCTAGATTAACTAATGGATACTAAAACATGCAGAAAACTAAGTTCCTTCGATTTATTGACTTGGTTTTTTCAAAGGTAACATGTTTAAGGATATAGACTTTTACGTGCGTGTACGTGCGTATGAAAAACGCGTTAGTGGAAAACAGCCTTTACGCGTTTTTTCACGCACGGAAAATTTTAAATGCTTCCAAAATTTTATCATGTGACACAAGGAAGTTAATTTTTAATGTTCTGTATTAGGAAATGATACAATGTAAATTAATAGCCAATAATTTTTGCAGTTATCACTATTCAGTGGCATCTTACCCTACATTAATTTGTTTTTATCGTTACGGGTGAATGGCGTCTCTAAGGTAACCGCTTGTCGCAATTAATATTTGCGATGTTCTTGCTGTTTGCAATTTTAGTTTCATTTTGGGATTCCTTTGAATTGAACGGGGTGATGAGCTCATCAATAGATAAGTGCTGTTACACGAATCTGGAATAACTGCTGTTTACTGTAATAAAGGTGAGAGTCCATTAAATGTATTAAATCAGGTACTGAGAAGTAATTGGTTAAGTTACAGCTTTTGACTTTAAAATTGAGAATAAAATCGTAAAGTTCCGCATGATAGCGTGGCAAACAACACGCGATAAATGTCGATTACTATACTTAAGTATACTTTCCTATACGGATACAGAAGAGAACGCAGATATTTGATGTGTGATTTTCACATTTCAACCATGCGAGTTAAACCAGTAGTGTAAAACAAAATTATGATCGCGCCATACACTCAACACGTCATGCCACGTCACGCCATAACACATGAACATCTGGATTAAACAGACGATTGCGTGCTGGCAATACAGAAATCATCAAGATCTGGGCGAATTCGTTTATATTTCGGGAACCCAACCTTCTGATTGACTTTGCCTGAAAAGTGTACTAAAAATTCCTCCTCGTTGTTGATTTGTGCTTCATAAAGAATTTCCAAAATGTACTTTTGTTGTTCGGTTGATCATAATTATATGGACTTACTCATAGTGATAAAAATGCATAAAACTTCCCATTTTAGTGAAAAAGTATAAACCGAAACACCAAATCCTGCTAACGTGCTACTGTGAATTGCTGTAAAGAAAGACTACAACAATGACAAAATGACTTTACGGCGAGGATAAATTTCAGTTATTTCACCAGACTGACATATTCATATGTTATTCATGTTGTGCAAGATTAATTTATTTTTAAACCATTGTCTTTACTTAAGAATTAAAAAACGAGTCGCGTGCCTTTATGGTGTAATAATGCACGATTGGGGAATGTTGGGAGAATACGAGAGAACCTTGTAAAACACGAGGCGTAGCTGAGTATTCTTCCAACATTTCCCCGAGTGCATTATTACACCATAAAGGCACGCGACGAGCTTTTTTAATTCTTTTATAATATAAGAAGAAATTATAGGGCAACAACAAAATTTATTTATTTGATCAATAATGAAATTCTCCTTACATGTTATTTAAGATGTTGCTTAGCAACAAAAACTTCAAAAGCTAGAAACGTGCATTATGGCCTCACAATGCACGCGCGGTAGCCAATCAAATTGCTCGTTATATATACTTATATTTTAAATGCTGTTAAAACGAATATGTGCCCCCCCCCTTTCCCAATTATCGTCTCCAGTACTCCACTGTGAATATATTATCTGCCAGAAATACATGCATGCAGAAACCATTACCATTTCCCACCAAGGTAACAAGAAGTAAACATTACCCGGGCTAGTGTTCTTTGTTACACTGAGAAAAAGCATTTATTGAAGTAAATTGACCCTCTCGGCTTAATTGACTCCTAGTTAAGATTTGAAAGTGTGATGCCTCCAAAAATGATGCTTCTACTTACAGTTTAATTTTTTGGTATATAAAGGCCACCTTAACAAGATTTGCAAAAAAATTGCGTGAATAACTAAATAATTATGTCGAATTAAAATATGTGACTGCAGTTACAGAAGTTACTAATAGAAAGGACTAGAAAATAAGAGTTTTCATAGACAGCGGAAGATCGTTGTATTCATTTCTGGAGGCCGTAAATACAATTAATTTCGAAAGGAATCAGTCAGATTGTAATTATTTCATTACAGGCCTAGGAAAAATGAAGAGAGGCAACGATGAAGGTAAATGTATTGTACCCAGACATAGGCATAAATTTTGGTCGCCATTTAAAGCGGAGAAAAGGAAACATTAGTGCACGAAGTCTACTTTTATCAGACATGGCATAGGTATATCACAAAATTTGCCAAATTTGTCATGAGAGAAGCTGCGATGGTTAGTCTTGTAACGAGAAATACATGAATGCAGGGACACCTCGGCTTCTCTGTTTCAATCGAAGCAAAATAATTTTCTCAACTAGCCAGACCTGAGGCTATAAGTTTATAATACTAAATTATTCAAATGAGTCGAAAGCTGACATTTTTATTATTCAGAGAAAAATCATAAAAGTGAAGGAAACATCAGCCGTTTTACTCTGCATCAAGCAGGCAGATTATAAGCACTTTCACAGTTTAAGAAAGGGTTAAGTTTAACCTTCCAAATATCAAAACGGAATAAAATGACTCACAAGGACCAAGGATTGCACAATTATTTATGCAGTCGACAGGAAAAGCTTTAAAGTGAAAGATATATACTGCCATATATATATACTATATATAGTGGTAAAAAATTCGTGCTTATAATATTACGCAAAATCTTGAACAATTTTCGTCGACGTGGTCTGTTTTTGCTCAGCCGAATATATTTTAATTAACATAGAGGGTGACGAAGAACAAAGAGATGGAAACACCAGTGATTTAACTGAGAACGATGCATACGAAGAGGTAAGTTTGTTTGCACTACCACTGACATGTTTTTTATTTTTTTTATTTTTTCGGTTTGACAAAAGAAAAATTAATTACAAACGTATGGATAACCAACATAAATACACAACATAACATGCACAAATTGTCAGGATCAACAACAGGGTTGAACCCGAATAACAGTGACCCGTAAATAATAATAAAATCAGCAACACTGCATGTGATTGCTTTTTCATGTTTAACATAAGACAATATTATTATGACATTTTGGACCGACGGTTTTTCATGTTGTTAAATTGGATTCTCAATATCATAAGTAGTTGTTACATAATCTTTATAATAGTTTAATAAACTATATTTTAACTGACATATAAATCTTCAAATAAGTGTATAATTATATAGATGATGGTAGTTCGTTCCAAATTCTGGCAGTTCGAATGAAATAACTAGATTGATTAAAATATAAGCGGTTCCAAACGTCGCTAACAGTTTATTAATTCGATTAAGTCGATCTCTCCTAACACAATCAAAGTCATCAATTAATAATTCAGACTCAGTCCATGTAGAATTGAGATGAGTTTCGGCAAAGCAAAAGATTATGTTACTTTTTTGTCGACTGATTGCAGCATTGAGAATTAAAAGTTTAATGGCATCAAGCCTATTAGTAATGGCCTGGATATTTAGATAAAAAATGTTATGCCCTTAATTGGAATGTCGGAAAGAGGGTCATTTATCGGCAAGTTACTGGATATAGAAAAGGGAGGGTGTCAGCATTGGATGAGAGTATGTCAACATTATCGTTGAGAGAGTGTGTGGCCTGCCCACAGTCGCTAAAAATGCAGTTAATATGATTGGTAAAAATTATTCGTCAGAGTTGCAACACCAGCATCATTTAAATGAAGGCCATATCTATCAAGTCCTTTTAAATTGATGTTGGAATTATTAATCAGGTGACATCCTTTCATTTTGCTAAGTGTTAATAGTTCCTTATTGATTTCGCGAATTTTAGAATTTGCATTGGGAAAGTCATTGCGGACTGTCAGCTCGGATAAAGATATAGTTGTGTGTGGACAGTTTTCTCTGATTTGATCACACAGGTTACCAATGTTTTTAACCGTAGGTACAGGATGACTTTGACGAGCATCATTTGTTCCAATGTGTAGAATAATGTGGTCAGGGTTATCTCTCATGGCTGGTTTAGCATAATCAAGCATATCCAGTGTTTTAGCTCCCGGTAAAGAGCGAATATAAACAGATTTACTAGTAGTCATAGCCTGTCGAATTTGTCTTGACTGTATTCGCTTAATCATAGAGTCCCCAAGAATGGAGATCTTAGAACGAGGCGCTTGATTTCTATTTGTAATGATATTCGATTGGTCCCGCACTTTAAGCGAACTAGATGTATGGGAACCTTGTGTAGTCTCACTATTGTTATTAAGTAATGGACTGGTTTGCTGATGATTTAGTCGATTCAAGTCGTCAGAGGCATTAGTATTGTTTACGTTTTTGTTTACTTGGTCAAGTTCGCAGTTCGTGAGCACTATACTCATGATCATGTTCCACGGGCATTATACCTGGTCGAACATTATTGTGTATAATGCCACTACTGTTGGAAACATTATAATGTCTATCTGATTGACAAGCCGCTTGGCCGGATGGGGGTACATACAGGGTGTCCCAAAAAAATGTCCTCCTATACAAATTACTCATCTTTTGTTGAACGCGCGGTATTATACCTCTGGGAATTTAAAATAGTTTCTAAACCGAACAGCAACACAAAAATTTGAAATTACAAATTGATTACTAATTCCAGTAAGAATGCCTTAAAATGGTTCAACTGACATCACAGCAGCGAGTATTTATCGTAACAAATTACACGTTAACCCAAAGCGTAACCGAAGTGCAAAACAGGTTTAGAGTCGAATTTCCCACTCGGAATCCCCCTTGTAAAAGACAATTAGGAAAAACGTTCGTAAGTATCAAAACACGGGAACAAGCTTAAACCGCAACAAGCGATATTCAGGCAGGCGAAAGACTGGTCGAAGTGAAGCGAACGTTGCAGCTGTGAGAGCTTTGCTAGAGGAAACCCCACGAGGTGTTAGCTCTCGTCGTAATCCTGTTGAAGTTTCAAAATCAACCTTTAACAGGATTACAAGATTAGATTTACGATGGCATCCTTACAGAATGCACGTACGGCATGAGCTATTGCCACGACTTGCCACGTCGACTACGCTATGCGCAATGGTTTAATGAACGTTGTCGAAACCAAAACTTTTTGCAGAGCATCATTATTGGAGACGAAGCAGGATTTGCAATCAATGGAGAAGTTAACTCCCACAACGTGCGCGAATATGCACCGAAGGGACAACCACCGGCATTTAACTTCGAACGCAGGAATTCCCGTGTAAAGCTTACTATCTGGGCAGCACTTTGCGGTAATGGCGTGATTTTAGGCCCTTACTTTTTTGACCAAAATGTGGACGGCCTCGCATATCTTCAGATGCTCAATGAATTTGCTTTTCCTCAACTTGCCATTCATTTCAACAATCAACATTGGGAAGGAATGTTTCGAGGGTACTGGTGGGCGCAGGACGGGGCTCCAGCACATCGTCTGGTTGCAGTTCGAGATCGCCTCAATGAAGTTTTCGAGCAGAATCGTGTAATAGCGCTGCAACATAATGTGGAATGGCCCCCTCGCTCGCCAGATTTAACCCCATGTGATTTTCGAGGAATAATCGAGGAATTTAATGTTTTACGGCAGCAGCCTGAAATGATTCGTAATGCAGTACGCCACATGCACAAACGGACAATTATTTGTGTCGAACGAAATGGGGGACACATTGAAGGGCATGGCCCATAGCTTTTTCTAAAGGCTAAATCAGTTAATTCATGTAAAAAAAGCAGAAAACCATTTATTTGTAAAATCGTTTTGCTCGCTTCCATTATCGCGATTAATTACTTTGACGAATAAATTACTTGCACCGTTTATGTACAATTCATATCAATTCCCATAGGTACAATAACGCTCAAGAATGATTTGTTTAGGGGGGACATTTTTTTGGGACACCCTGTATGTTGGCGTTTGAGCTCGTGGATTTGGGGTGTAGATAAAAGGCGGACGCGGACCAGCGGGCGCGGACTGGCGGACGCTGACTGGCGGACCGAAAAAGATTATATTATTAATTATTGTGTTATTAATTAATGATTACATCATCGTGTTATTAATTAATGATTACAATTATTGTGTTATTAATTAATGATTATATTACATGAATATTATTATACTTTTTGCTAATTATTTAATCCACTATTTTCTAAATATTCTACGTGCTCTGGTAACAGACAAGCTCTAATTTCTTGTGGTATTTGTACAAGAGAGGGTGCAAAATATGGTTGTCTATAGGCGTAGAGTATGGGGGGGCTGAGGGGCTGGAGCCCCCCGAGAAATCTTACA